ACATTTTGGACGGAACAGTACATATTAGGGGCACTGGAAAGAAAATACCCAAGAAAAAAACCGTGGGAAGATGTGCAAAAGTGATTTTTTAGGAAGTTGAAAAGTGCACTTGTCATTTTTTAAAAGTATAAGATACAGAATTCTTTTTCATTCTACACTGTTATTCGATAAGAAAAAAGACTTTTTTCGAGAAAAGTGTATTTTCTCAAAATAGGGATTGTGACGAATCCACTGTCCCTCTTATCGTCACATTTTCTGTGACACTTGCAGTCGATTTTTTCAATAGATTTACAGGATGTTTCAGGAACTGCTATCATTCCTGATTCTGACTCTTCATAAATTTGAATCTCAGTTTTTTTTGCCGGAATCCCAATGAAAATTGATATTATTTTTCATTCAGTAGAAACTTAAATCTAAATTAGTTTTTTAAATACTATGTGTCAGTTAGATCTGATAAAAACAATAAAACAAAGACAAAAAGTGGAAGAGTCGTCAAACTTTATTTGGATTTTGGGATTGAAATCAATCTCGCGAAACAGAAAAGGTTAAGAGAAAACTAAATGAATAAAATGTTTGCTAATTTGCCTTTCTCAACTATTTATCAATATTATCCTATGCAAATGACTCTACAAAGATGATGTAAGGTGTATCGAAAATATAGTTGATTTTGATTCAAAGACTTATTTGTAGCAATAAAAGCTCAAATATCTAAATGGGGTACAAAAAGTGTACCCCAGGGGTACAAAATGACAAAATGGGGTATTGTACCCCAAAATGGGGTACAGTTGGCAGCCCTGTACGTAATTCAATCACATATACAGATATCGTGTAGAAGTACTGAAATTAACTGAAGAAAAATTAAACATAAATACTTTAAAAAATCAATTTAATGTTTACATTAAAATATCATCAAAATCTAATCGAATAAAAATGAAACAAGTGCTTTTTGTTTAACTTTTCGATTTTATTAATATAATGATATTTGCATAAAAGACCGATTTAAAAACTATAAAGATTATTAAAATACAATAATTATATATAACACAAGGAGGCTTGTTTTGCTTCTTATTTCAATGAGATAAAATGTGATTTTCCGTTATGATACCAATCTAATTTATTTGTAATATGATATTTTAATAATCATGATATTAATATTAGTAGTGAATTTATTTCATCGATGAATTTTCAAATAATTTCTCTCTTGTTTTGTTTTTACAAAATATTTGTAGAACTTTATATATATAATATATATCAGATGTATATAATTCAATAATATCAAATAGAACAGTACTGTTTAAAAAAACAAACTATTCATGAAAAATAAATGAATCAACATTAACTAATCTTGATGAAATCGCTCAATATATACAAAAAAACATTAATATGTTGATACATATGTTTATCAGACATCAATGATACGTACAACAAATATTGATAATCATTGAAAATCAATGTAGAATTAAATTGACTTGAACATTTTTTTGTTTGTTTTATTTTATTATTGATTTGATTATTTTAGGACAATAGTTGTTCATAATCTATTAAATACTGTCAAATATCTTCATGATATATCATCACAGCGATAATTTTACCGTTGTACAATCATCATATGAAACATCTGATGATTTATCTATATCTAGAAATTTTTTTATATATTAAAAAACTATCAATATAATGTAATATAATTCAACGAGAACAAAATTCATCCAATTAATATTCTGTTCGTTTTAATTAAAAATGATTACATAACTTTGGTATTCATATTCTAACATGAAAATAATCAGAAAAAAGAGAACTATCATCGTCATCACCAACTTTAACATTACTTATACGATTTCCATCATCATTATCAAATAATTTATCTATTATTAACAAAAAGATAGAAAAATTTGTTGAACATTCATTAGAACAATTATGTGATTTGTCAATGGTTACTTCTCTTAAAGCTTTGATTAATAGTAATGATTCATTATGTTTATCATTTAAATTATCTGATTAAAAAAATTGAAATATCAAGGTGAATTCGATAATATTTTTATTAAAAATATTAATCATTATTGTCAAAATCGACGAGTATCATCAATATCTTGAATAAATTTATTATCAACATTTGAACGATATTATCGTTTATATTCAAATTTATTTGATCAACCACTTAATTTACCTTGTTCATCATTAATAACGAATTCATCTGAAAAATTAGCTGAACTCTAAAGAACAAAATGATATATGTAATGAAGTAAGTATTATTTCACCATGAACATTAGCTAATAATGAGAATTTTATAAATGATATTCAAAGAGAAATATTTCGTTTACTTCAAATATTATTTTCATCTTATGATAATCATTTACGATTATCAAATCTTATATTATTATCGAATGAAAATGAATTATCCACAAGAGTTAATCAATTTGATGAAAAATCAATAAATAAACCATCTGATGATAATAAACTTGGAAAAAATATCATCGATCACTTATCGAAGGAATCGATAAATGAAATAAATTTTTAGAATAATACAATTGTTTGAAATTAAAATTTCATATCGGTAAATACAGATGAATTCAAATATATTTATGCATTTTTTTCAATCGAAATAATGAAAGAAAAAAAAATCATTTATTTGTTTTATCATAGAAAAATAGAAATGCGTACCAAACATAATGTTGATATAGATCAGATTTGATTGAAACTTTCGAATACTTGAAACAAAGTAACGCAATAGCTACTTTTTCTTAAAGAAAATCTTAAATATCTCTACTGTACTTTGACTGAATCGATTGACATTTTTAATAATACCAATAAACGAGTATTCATGGTTGATATTGATAAGAAAAATACTCTATTCAAATATTATACTTTGAATCAGTATTTTATCGAAAATGAGGGTCGAGAGAGCGTCGTCTTTTCACACATTAGATTTACATTTTAGAAATTTTAAATCGCTCCTCTGAAAGAGAAAATCTGTTAAAAGTACTGCTTTTGACATTAGTAGAAAACTATAATCTTTGAATAGTCATGAACAAAAAAAAAAACAATTCTTAAATAATTCATTTGATAACTTCAGTTGTTTATGAGAAAAATTTTCTGATTACATTAATTAATATGAAATAGACTTATGATAAAAATTAAAAATCAAATGATCATTGTTTGAAGCATTAATTTAAAATATTTTATGCTTTTTATTTTTATTCAAAAATAATAAATATATTGATTTTTTTTCAAAACCATTCAAATTATTGATCAATACACATGTCAAAAATAATATTTCACGGTACAATTTTTGAATTGTTTTTTCTTATGAATATTAACAATAAACATTCCTTTATTATTATGAAAACAAAAAGAAAACAATATATGTAGTTCAGGAATGACAGAGATTGTCAAGCTTTTCTTATCAAGAAAATTTTATATTATCTTGTAGAAAAATATGTTTAATTACTGTTCATTTCCTTGTATTATTTAGGGTATGATTGTGAACTATTAAAAAATCATAAAATAGTACTTTTTTATGTTTAAATATTAAGTTTATGATGGAACTCTCCTAATTGATTATTTGCATTTGAGTCGGGTCTATATGCATCCATGTAATCCTCCATGAGTTATGAATACTCTAAAAAGAGTTCGAATTCTCATATCATTGCTACGAAGATACTGTATTTTTACGTTAGTTTTATAAATCAATATCGTAGATCTCCTCAACAACACAATGGAGATTGATTTCCGAATGTTGACTAAAAACTTTACACAGACATACAACATTAACGAGAATAGTTTATTGTGAAAGGTTCAGGTCTTTTTCTTGTTCTTGTTCTTATGTTGAAATATGAAAATCAAATCTATACGTGTATATGAGCAAAGGGGAAAACATCGTACTTTTGTACTTTACTGTACTTTAACGTATCTTATCCTTCTATAACGTATTTTAAGCTACTTTAAAATAGTTTAATGTAATTTTACGTACTACAGCATACCATGTACATTGTAAAGTAGAAAACTATGATGTTTGTTCCTTGGATGCATCAATTACAATTACAATTCTTGACTTGGAATTCGAACTGGTAGACAGCATTGGAATTGGCTAGGGGAGCTGGAGAAAGCTACCGTTGCACAGGTAGTTACTTTATCAGTTACTGGATAACGGGCTAATGGAAAATTATGTGCTTGATTTTTTTTTTTACTAAAGTAAGGATTTTTAGGGAAAATAATGGCTTTTTCTTTTTAATAAAGTTTGACCAACGGTTTTTGAAATCAAGGATTTCGAATCTACAATAAGTCTTTCAACATTATATACTTCATTTTTCGGCCGAGTTACCTCTACCGCAAAGATCTTTGATCAAACTTTTAAAAAAATCCTTATTTTTACTTAAGTACCTTACTTTAAAGAAAAACTCAACTATATAAATTTCCGTTACCATGTTACATTGTAGCTGGTAAAGTTGCTGCTTTTCCAACGATGGTTTGTCCAGTTTCCCTAACTAATTTCGATTCCAACTAGCTAAAGAACGATTTTTACCAATGCCTAATTCAATTCCGACCACTTTCAACTTGCATTTTCCAGCAAAGACTTAGAATTAGCATTAACTAGAATTGATGCATCTATATATCAAATTCAAATGCTATTTCTGTAAAATTTGAAACCGAAAATTAGACTTTGGTTGGATACAGATGTAAATAGGATCAATAGTTTTTTTCTTTTTTTCTTTTAGCAATGATCCTTTTTCTTTGTTTTGTTTTTACGTCGTTCACAATTATCTAAATATAAATAATCAAAAGAATCTAATTATCATTTCTAGATGGTTAATATAAAAAAATCTATTTCAAAATTATTTGACGATTATGTTTTTCCAACAAATAGTAAGTTAAATATTGTCCGAATATAATAAAAAGTATTGTACTAATGAACATGATCTATGATTTTTCTCTCAGCTCACGATCATTTGGCTTGCATCCATTGTAGTTTCTCAAAAACAGTGGAGCTCGAATGGTTAAAACATATGAAAAAAGACCATAAACGTAAATTTATAGCCTTGATCAAGAAACGTAAAGCATATCGTCGACAATTGCATAAAGAACTTTATAATACTGTACAAGATAAGGTATTATTGTTTTAAAACATCTTTTATCAAATGAAAACTCTTATCAAAGCTTTCAACTCTAATTTTACTTAAGTATAACATTCTTTCTTTCATATAGGAAAATGATAATCAAGGTAATCTTGATCGTCGAAGTATGCTGGTTACAGAATGTTCGAAACAACGTAATTATTATAATCATCTTGGTAATGATGAAAATCAACAAATTAATCAAACAAGTTCTGTAACTAATCTTAATTCATTTTTTCAATATAAAAATCAATTAACTAATCAAACAGTTGCTACAACTAATCCTAATTCTTTATTTCAATATGAAAATCAACATATTAATCAAACAGTTGCTGTAACTAATTCTAATTTATTATTTCAATATGAAAATCAACATATTTAACCACCTGTTACTGAAACAAATGATTATTTTCCTGTTCAAAAATATGAAAATAAATCAATTAATGAAATAGTTGCTGTAACAGATCTTAACTCTTTATTTCAATATGAAAATCAACGTATTAATCAAACAGTTGCTGTAGCTAATCCTAATTTATTATGTCAATATGAACATCAGCATAGTGGTCAAATATTTCTTCAGCAACAATTGAATCAACATGATTTGAATTTTATATCTAATAAGGTACGTGATACAACTATTCATAAATTTGAACATTTTTTTAAACATATATCTACATTTCCTCACTAAAACTAGATGGTATTCGAATTTCTCTCGAATACAAAATGTGATGCGAAGCATGAATCTTGATAGTTCAGAAAAAAAAAAGAAATCTGATAAGAAAAACGAATAATCGACTGTAGAATAAATGTCGATCGTTATCTCTTGTCAGGTAGTTTGAGTTTTGCCGAAACAAGACGCTGCTCTAAATCGTTGTGTATTGAAAATGGTATTTTCCATCAATTAGCTGATCAAATGTAGCTCACAGTTGAAAAGTAGCCATTGTGAAGTTTCTCACTACGAAAACTTTATTAACGCATATCAACATGTTCCTAAAGAATGCTTTTGATTGATAGTTTAATCATCTGCATGATTCATTATCTCTTATCAGTTGTATTCGCAGCTGACTTCCATATGAGCAAAGAGATTGACGCCTAACCTTTGTTGCTTTCTTCATTTTAATTTTAATTAAGATGCGAAGCACTTTATAGTAGTGCGTCGCGAGTTTTCTTTATTTCTTTATATATAACTAGACATACTCATCAAATTTGTGATTTTATGTTGCAGTGATCTTGAGAACAGAAAGTCAGAAAATTTTCGCTGAAACAGGATGTAAAAGTAACGAGATTGAACCTAAAATATTTCTTCTCAAATAGAGCATAGGATTCTTCGTTCAGTCATAAATCTATTTTCAAAAACATACTTTTGAAAGATTTTGGTTTCGAGATAATTAAAATGAAAAACGTTAAGAAAAGTTAAACGCCATTCTTTATGTTCATATGTTAAACAGCTGTCATTACAGCTGATGACAGATAATGAACTATATCGATATTTAAACGATCAATCTATAATGCTCTTTAGAAGAATATTGACAGGCTTTCATAGAGTTTTCGCAGTGATGAATTCTACAATGACTATTAAATTTCCAGCTTGTGTCAGATTTTGATCAGCTGATTGATGCAAATGTAACTTTTTCCAGTTATAACGATCAACAGAAATTTTTGCCTTCGGTCGAACAGAGACATCTTCAAAACACACACCATTCGAGTTTGACTCTACAACCGATTTTTCCTTTTTTTCAGAAACTCGATTATTTCACGTAATCGATACTCGTGCTTCGCACCTTATTTCGCATTCTCGACGAAGTCAAGATGCCATCTAGTGATCTCTAAGATAAGTTTTTGAAATTGGTAATTTTAAGATAGTATTTATGAGTGAATAGGACGTCCTTCGGAAGATTGGAAAATAAAGATTATTAGTTTGATCTCAATACTTTCACCTCGCATTTCTACGAATGTTTTCTGACTTTTCATTGTCGATTTAATTGGAACAGAAAATGACCATCTTTATGTGTACGTCGAGAGAAAAAAAGAACTAAATGGCACCTCGACTTCATCAAAAATGCAAAATTAAGTACAATCACACATATCGACTATATGAAATAATCGAATTTTCAGCTCAAACGAATAATCGATTCTAGTATGAATGTCGAGTCGTGTTTCTCGTCAAGTACTTTACGTTCTGTTGAAAACAGATGTTCCTCTTGATTGTTGTAAATCGAAAAAGGTGCATTTCCATCAATGAGCTAATCAAAAATTTGACTGAAGCTGAAGGGGTGCTCATCATGAAACTCATTACTACGAGAAGTCTATGAAAGCATAGCAACATACCTTTAAAGCATGCTATTCATTGATCGTTTAATTATCTCCATAATCGTTCATCTCTAATCAGCTATATCCAGAGTCGTGTGATAGATATGGAAAGAGAATGACGACTATCTTTTCCTATTATTTTCATTTTAATTATCTCAAAATGAAAAAAATGACAAAGTCTTAAAAAACTTTTCTTTTTCATACGTTATTTATATGCGAACGAAAACTCATTAAGAAAATTGAAAAACAGCTGCTTTCGGTTCGATCTTGACACGTTCAACTTACGTTATTACAAATATTTTTTGATTTTCGGCTCACAAGGTTAATATGACACACAATGTCAAATTTATTTGCATGTTTAGATAGGAATAAATAAAGAAAGAAAACTTGCGACGGACTACTATAAAGTGCTTCGTACCTTGAAAAAAAAGAAAGAAAACTCGCGAAAGACTACGTAAATACTGTACTTCGCATCACATTAATAAAAAAAAGGAAAATGTTAATGAGAGTACGATTGGCGCTAACAATTGACAAGACAATAGCCATTATCTATATTCTCACTATTTTCTTTCTCATCGTCATTCGTCAAAAAAAAAAACAAAAAATGATCACGATTGCCTATTATTCATGCAGTATAAATAGCTTCACTTTTTTTTCCTTCATCAGTGTCATAAGTTCAATCATTGATATACTCAATATAAATGAGAATAAAAATTTATAATTATGGCAGAAAAACAGGTTATTATATTATTCCCTTGTGACATAACACAATTTCATTTTCACTATTTTAACTATACTTATCATTTTTTTTAGGATCAAAACAAAATAACACTAGTTGCTTACAACGAGGATATCATAATGAAATATAAAAACGGGTTATTAAGTGATACAGAATACGCACTGGCTTTGAAATTCATCTTGGAACAAATTCAAAAATATTCATAAATATCTGTTCAAAGCTTGGTCATCTATCTTATTTTGTTTATTATTTATCATGTGGTGTACTCATTTTTTTCATTATTCTGTAACTTATTTTTTTCTTTCTGTCGTATTAAAACAATATTTTTCTTTCTATTTCATAATAACTTCTGCTCACGTATGTTAATCAGATCTTTTTTGGATTTTATTATCTATTAATATAATCCATTCGATCGATTAATGTTCGTCATGTAATATTCATATTTAATTCTTGAATAAACAAAAAATAATTTATTTAAACACATTTTAATTTTAATAATTTTTCTGGTATTAAAAATTAATCTATTATACAGAAGTTTTTGTTTTATTTTCTGAACAAAAAAGAGAAAGACCAAAATTTATTGTGATGCTTTTTAAACAAGAAAAAAATAATTTTTTTTTCATAAGAATATTTCTAGGTCTAATCACGATTTCTTATTTCTCATAGAAATCGATCGATTTATTAAAAGCATGTTTTGATTAAGCATAATGTTGACTAGGAAATATATTCGAAATAAATTTTGATCATTGTTTTTCTAATAGTATGTTATCAGTCTATAGTGTAAATTTATAAAGAAACTGTTTTCTTTCGCTTTCTGTTTCCTATTATCATATCGGTTTTTTGTCGATTATGAAAAATATCACTGATGTAATTACATGTGATCATTTTCGATTGTCTATTATATGCATGTTGGTCTTTTGTGAAACACGATCTAGATGAAATCTTAAAGTATATGGATGATACTTTCAATCTCCTACAGATACCTTAGTAACGACTCAACAGAGATCGTGACAGGTACTTTAATAAAGTAACTCACTAATGGGTGGGTGTGGGTGTGAGTGTGGGGTGTGGGTGCAGGTCTTCCTTTCATCCACTCACATACTCACACTAACACCCCGCAGCCACACACTCAGATCCAGATGCTTGTCCGTGCAAATAAAAACTTTACGCTGATACCTATGCTCTGAAAATGTTTAGTTGATCAAGTTTGATTAATAATGAAATTAAACGAATTTAATTTCCCGACGGACTTATGGGACACGCTGTATAGTGAAAGTCAAATGAAAATATTTGTGGAAAAGTGAATCTTAACTTTAAAATGCCTATTCACTTAATAGGATATCATTGATTAATCTGTAAAAATGATTTGTTGAATCGAAGCTTTATGATTGATTGCTGCGGCCGATCAATGTAATACGGTAGGAAACGAATAACGTATCAGATGGTTTATTCGTCTTATGTTATTGTCAGTTTGAAAAGAAAGTTTTTCACCTAGCTAGTAGATCCTCTAACGAAATCGATTTTGATTCTATTATGATTTTTTTTGTTTTTCTATTTGCCCAAACACATATGAAAAAATTTTTACGTTGGAAGGAAAAAGAATGAAAAAATTCAGTTCGAATGATTTTCATATATAAGGTGAATAATAGACAGTGAGTTTTGTCTCTTTTTTAATAATAATTTTTTGTTGGAGAAAATAACATGAAAGCAAATTTTTTGCGTATTCATTCTGTTAGCGAGAAGATTAAAAATAAACATGAACAACCGTGCGAATAAAAGTTATTAAAAAAAGAAGCAAATATAAGAAGCATCTTAGCAATCCACATATTTGAAGAAATACCCAGAGGCTTCGATTGGCTTTACTTTCCTAGCTTAATGTACGTTGTTTCATCTTTCCAAAATAATGTTAAGCAACGAAACGAAAAGAAATATGACTTCAATCAGATTCGTATACAAAAAACTCTCATTCTCATAAATGCATTGTGTCACATAAGAT